CGGGCCAAATTCATGACCATAATAAAGCGTTCCGCCAGGTGGCCATGGCTCTTGCTTCTTTTACGTTAACAGCCTTTTTTGGCGGTTTTACGATTTCAATGCACATTATCGAGTAATTATGCGGCATCAAAGGGTGAGAGTCAGGATGTACATGAATAGCTGAATAGCAGCTCAAAACTCCTCTCAGTATGCACTCGCTTGTTTTATGAACACTCAAAAGCGCTAACACACCACGTTAACAGACTCATTAACTGCTGAACAAAGCAAATATAATTTGTAGACCAATAAACTCCGGCCCCCCCATTGAGTGGGTCCAAAAATGGGGAGACAATGGGGGACTCTTCTCATGCGGAAGCCACCAAGCAGCGAAGAATGGAGAAGAAAACCCTCTTGCTAGACAAGGATGCGAATGAATGAATGGCCAGCGGCTGAATGGTTGCAAATGGAAAGAATCCTTTTATTACTTTGGCGCGGCAACAGATTTCGCAGGCACAAAAATGAATTTAGCATAAATGAAACATTTTTACGAGCTGCCATTACGGCCAAAGCAACATGACAAATAAAAATACAAAACAAAATAAAATAAATACAAAACAAGAAAGAAAGCAAACTTCGGCAAGCCGAAGTTCATATACCCTTGCAGCTATCGCAAGAATTAAATATTTTTGAAAACATTAAAATTATGATTTACTTGCGTATTTGAACCATAATTCTGAAATATTTAACCCTTGCTATATGTCGAAGAACTAAAAAAAAAATTAAAAAACAGCAAAGTTATAATTTTTTTCAATTATTTTTCCGATTGTTCCTATGGGAGCTATATGCTATAGTCGTCCGATTTTGATGAAATTTTAACCATAATTCTGAAATATTTAACCATTGCTATATGTCGAAGAACTAAACAAAAAATTATAAAACAGCAAAGTTATAATTTTTTTCAATTATTTTTCCGATTGTTCCTATGGGAGCTATATGCTATAGTCTTCTGATTTTGATGAAATTTTAACCATAATTCTGAAATATTTAACCATTGCTTTATGTCGAAGAACAAAACAAAAAATTAAAAAACAGCAAAGTTATAATTTTTTTTCAATTATTTTTCCGATTGTTCCTATGGGAGCTATATGCTATAGTCGTCCGATCCGGCTCGTTCCGACTTATATACTACCTGCAATAGAAAGACAACTTTTGGGAAAGTTTCATGCAGATAGCTTTAAAACTGAGAGACTAGTTTGCATATAAACGGACGGACAGACGGACAGACGGACGGACAGACGGACGGACAGACGGACGGACAGACGGACGGACAGACGGACATGGCTAGATCGACTCTACTAGTGATGCTGATCAAGAATATATATACTTTATAGGGTCGGAAACGTCTCCTTCACTGCGTTGCAAACTTCTGACTGAAATTATAATACCCTCTGCAAGGGTATAAAAAAACCAAATTGGATGTCCTAAATCGAACCGAACACCAGAATACTCTGGTGTTTTTATCTTATAAAAATTCATTTTGTGGCATTGCTATAATTACATTATAAACATTAGTTTAATAATTATTAAGAGGGTGTGTTTTTATACTTTTAAATATGCAGTTCTACCTATTCCAATGAAGAATGAGGCAAGGCAAAATAAATATTTGCCAAGCCCAACAATAAGAGTTAGGGGCAGGTGAAGGCCTTTGTCGAATGTAATGAACAAAATATGCCCAGTGCAAACTGAAGCTTACGTATGCGCAATGCGTGACTATACATATGTAAGCATATATATGTGTCTGCCATATAACAATGTCAGCAGCCATGGAGACACACACAGTTGAGTCAGATAGGTCTGGGCAATAAAAAACATCATCGAAGCCATTTGTCAAAAGACAACACAGCGAAGCGATGATGAACAGTGGCGAGGAGAGAGATGGACAAGGACGAAAACGAAAACGAGAACGAGAACGAGAACGGGAACGAGAACGGAGACGTTGGGCATTTCGTATTCATTGCCAAAAATCACAATAACAGTCCCTCCGACGGCATTTTATAGCACTCGAAGTGCTCACACCTCTCGTTTCCCATTCCGCGAAAATCGCACCACCCACATTGTTACAACGCCGCGAAGTAGGCAATGGACAGACTGCCGAGCTAACTTGTGTCCAAACACGCTCGTCTACAAAATGCGTTGCGGCGCGGACAGCGGACTCCCGACAACGGAATACGGAATACGTAATACCGAGTACGGACTACTGGCCACGGACATGGGCACAGACCCGTACCCGTAACAGGGACGATTTTAAAGCGTGCTTGGGACTGGGCGAGAAAAACGCATAAATAATCTTGTTGCTCACGGCTGTTGAAATGGCGTGAAATAATAAAAGAGACGTGAAAGCAATAGCCGACTATGGCAACGTGCTTGGAAGCCAGTGTTGCCAACTATCCTGGCCAAATCGAGCAGACAAAATTGCTGGTCCTTGCTAAAAGCCAACATACTGTTTCCTGGCAACTAATGCATTCGGTAAGAGAGAATCAAAACATATTGAGACAAAAAAAAGCCTGATAATAAAATTTGTGTCAGTAAGCAATCTAATCTCAACAGCCATGTATCCAGCAATACAGTAATTAAAATATGTTTTTAATAAATAAATACAAATTGTAAAACTTTACAAATTAAGTGTTAACTGTTGTAAAACATTAGTTAAGCTCTTACATAAATATTTTCTAAATAAAGAATAGGAATTGAATAAAGGAAATACAACATTTTATATATACAAAAAAGTGAATTTAAATTGTAATAAAGTTTATTAAAAGGTTTGTTATTTGTTAGCCAAGTTCACAACACCGATGGCCGCGAACAGCAATCGCAACCGGAATGGCAATGGCAATAGCAACACTAGTGGGGGGCAGGACTTTGCCGAAAGCCTTTTGAGTTTTGCTGCTGCTGTAGTTATTGCTGTTGCCGTAACGGTTACCGTTAGTGTCGCGCCGTTGGCTATTGTCGAGAGCCGGGCTCAAATCGCGATTTTTAGTGGGCTGCAATCGAAGCGTTTGCGATTTTACTTCACTGAATTAAGTGAAAGCGTAGACTGCGTATACGTAGTGTGAGCCCTGAAAAGGGCAAGTGAGACGGAACGAAAAGCAAATCCAAAAGAAATGTGTGCTGTGCACTAGAGCCGATTATGAAAAAAAGCTATCAGTAAAAGCTTAATAAAGTATACTGACCAGGCTAATCCGTAATGTTATTTTTAAAAAAATGTATATTATGGTGTGTGAAAAGCGTCTTACATTATTAATAATAAAACTATTAATTTAAATTAACTATTTAATTATGTATGTTTTATGTGTATGCTAGTTATATAAGCTTTTCTATAAATTATTTTAAATAACTTTTACATCCCAAAGACATTTTTAATTTGCAAAATAAAGTTCTTAAGTTTAAAGCAAAAGCTTAGAAAACAACATAAATATTCTGTTCCTTTCTTAGCTCCCATAGTTAAGCTCTTTTACTGAATTTGGGGTCAATCATGAGAAATTTAATAAATCGAACTTTCAATCATGTATTGGACGATAAGCATTTAATAATACAAAACTGTAAGAAAATCGGTTATAGTCTGAGAAAGCGAAAAGGAGCTTAGCATTCTACCTTACGACTGCATAAGCTCTGTCAGTGGGAGCCTTTCATTTGATTTATGTATTCATTGTTTCGTGGCTGCAAATCCCGTATAGATAAATGGGGACTTGGTGTATTCAAGCAACTTATGAAATCCCGTTCCGGGGCAAAATTCAGACCCACTCGGCTGGCAGCCACAAGCCATTGAATGTCCGACGGGATTAGAGACAAATTAAAATTGTAATATTTTATTTATGTGCGTTGTTGCTGGCACAGGAATAGCCACAGCAGCAAAACCGAACTGGAATTGCGGCACGTTGTCCTTTTGGTCCTTGGCTTGGCCTTGGGTATTACGGGTTAATTTGTGTGTTTATTGCAGTTGGCCAAGTTCGGCGCTGGGTTTGGACCATCTTTGGGGAGAGCACCGACACTTAAACGTATTTACACGCGATATGCCAACAACAACAACAAGTTAAGCCACAACAATGAAGGCAACCGAAACAGAGATGGCAAATGGCAAATGCCGAACGGCAAAACGAAATATTGTAGACTATTTAAAAAATTTATGTGCGGATGTTTTGCCGTCGGGATATTTCCGGTTTATGATGATTATGTTTTGTGTGCACTTCCTCTGCTCTCCTCCTTTCCGTTTATTTTTAACAAGCGGATTACTTGGCGCCACCCTCCAAGTTTTCTCCTCATTTTTTGTTGAGAACCAACCTTACTTCTTCGGCGCACTTTTCTTCTGGCGCTTTGTTTGCTCCCACTTCCACATCCACTTCCATCTCATCCATCGTGCATAATAATAAACATAATTTGGTTTATTTCTTATTTTTTATTCACTTTTTTATGTATACATTTGACTAGCCAGAAAATTGTTGCGTGCGCATTTTAATTATTGTTTTGCAACGGTTTTTTTATGTTTATTGGTTACTTTTTGCTGGTTCTGTTTGATTTGCGCGATAAAAGTCTTTTACACTCCTCTGAGTCTGTTTTTGCGACCACATATTCACAGTTATTTATGTCTTTTATGACAATAGGACATAATTCTACTTCAAAGGGTGGATGAAATAATACAAATGGATAATATATAGACAATAGATAGAAAAGAGTAAACCTGTACAGAGAAGCCACAAAAATATCTTTGAACAGAAAATTAAATATTTTTGTAAATAAAATAATTTTAAATTTAAGCAAAGGGTTAAGAGCATTGATTTTCAAAATTAAGCAAATTAAGCAATGACATATCAGGAAATGGCTGAATTATTAATGGCTGAATAATAAATAATATATATATATATAAACAATATATTTAATCAGGACGTTATATCTATGTACAAGAAAAAAACATAAAACGTTATCGCTAAATATTTATTTTAAATATATTTGTTAGCCTCTGAAATAGAAAGAACACTTAACAGTTTCATTAGAGTGTAAATCATAATTATTTGTATTTGATATCTTTTTCAGGCCTTAAAAATGGCTATTTATTTTTAACTCTTAAAGATCTCTCATTTAAAGTCTGGCAACGACAAATAATATGTCGCGGAGCCCAAAAGCAAACAAAAAAACAAATGGAAATGAAAATTAATTTGCCTGGAAAACCCATCCAAATAAAAAAGGGGAACAAGGAGCCAGAGAGTAGAAAAGCGAGATACCAATAACAAGTGCTGGAACACAAAAGCCAACAAAGGAGTAAGGGATATATGTTTTTTTGGGGCGGGGAACTTGGTATTATTTTTATTTCTTTATACAAAGGCGACATCGTCTGGCTTTTATTACGCTTGGCCATTCTCTTTTGTCGGTGGCGGCGGTGGCTGTATATGTGGTGGTGGTGGGGATTGGTCAATGGCCAGCAGCCACAAAAAGTAATCTCTGAGTATAAACGCATATCCTGGACTGCAATTATGCCAAATGTTGAGCATTATGCCACCGCAATTTTCATTACCGCACACGACATGGCCAACGGACATGTGTGCTCGACCCTCTCACACTCCCGCCACCAAAAATAAATGCTAAATTTTGATACACATTTCGTTGGCGGTGTTAAGCTCTGAAACGCTTATTAGGCCGGGCCAACAAGCGGCCAAAACAACACCAGGGAGTTCAGCAGAAAAAAAAACAATAACTGGGCATTAACCCAACAATGCCCAAGCTGCATGTACGCCTCATAAAAGTCTAATTAATTAAAATCGTGCCCGACCAGCCAGCGGCAATCCCAAAGCCAATGTGCCAGCCTCAGCGGCAACCTCGGCGTCAACGCTGCGTATGCGTAATGCGCTCTGGGACTTTCGCCACGACGGCTGGCTGACTGGTTGGCAGGCGCTAATTAAAAGCCTGCCTCATAACTTTTCTAACCAAAAAAGTATATAAGACTCATAGGAAAATTAAAATAAGGTGCCTTATCGATACGACGAATCGTATATGCCCTCTAATTAAATTTTGTAATAAAAGCTGGGTGACCAAGAGGATTGTTAAAAACGTTACATATAAATGTTAATGATTTCTGTACTTAATATAAGCTTAAAATAAAGTAATGAAGCTGCAATATGCTTACCATAAGTAATCATAAGTGAAAAAATCAGGCAGTGAAAGACAAAGTTAAATCTAGGAAAAATCTACTTCGAAAAAACACCTATTTCAGTGAAAGTACAAAGTATTTCTTCAATCTTTTAAGTCAAGAGTATATTCCTAGGAAAGCCTGCGATCCTTTTATCGCAGGCATGTATTATAAAGTCAATCGGCCCTGAATATGTTAGTTCTTAGCTTATCATTTAGTTCCTGTTTCCCCAGAAGCAGCAAGCATTAACCCACAGAGACTTCGCCGCAGTGATGAAAATCACTTTTAATAAACTTCTTTCCTAGTATTGATGATTTTTATTGCGCGAGGTTTTCCCGAGCTCAGTCGGGGATGTTAATTAGATTTTATTATGCCTGTGTTGGTGTGTGTGGGCTTGTCCTTTGTGCGCTTATGACGGGGGCCAGATAATGCCAGCGGGGATTATGGCTTATTAAAAGGCTTATGAAAGTCAAAAGAAAAGTTTACTTAATTTCAGTTAGTTAAGCGCCAATGAAAGCCGCCCACTTGAGTATTGGCCAGTGCCAACAATGAGGGACAACGTTTGCCCCGGCGCCTCTGCCAAATGGCCAATATAAATGGCCTGACTTAGGTCAACTCCTCATCGCCCAGTGCCTCGCGAGTCTTTGGCAATTTTACAAGAATTTTCGGATTAGACTCGCCGGCAGTTTATGGCCGGCTCATAAATTCAAATGTTGCAAACATAAAATCAAATAAAAATCTGCAATAAACATCAAATTGACAACACGTTGAGTGCAATTTTGTTTTATGCGGACTTGGCCAAACTTATTAACATGCCAACATTTGACACACATTTTATTTTTCCTTTTAGGTTTATTATTGGCATAAATAATTTGTACATTCTTGTGGGTAAGATCCGCATTTTATAGATTTTTGTATATTATAAATAGTAACAGAGCCCAAATAAATTTGATGAACAGAAAAATACGGTGTGTATTGACTAAATGAACTTTTAATAACTCAAATTTTGCAAAATAATATTTAACAGAAGCTATTTTCCACAGATTTTTGAAATAAAAACCCAATGTTATAAACAAAAAATTAATAAAAACTATTGTGTCCTGATAATAATGCTTGAAAAAATGAGGTGGAAAATGATGTGCTGCCTACGATGAACTTTTAAAAGCTCGCTTATCAAAAAGAGCTAGTTAAATATTGATATGAACAAACTGCAATCAACCTATCTAATCAATGAACCAAACAAAACAATTGCATTAAGCGGTATCAGACGCAGTCGTTTGTTTTCCATTTTACGGACAGATCACTGTAGTTAGGTGTGCTTTTATGCACGGTGCGTTCGTTACCTTGGCCATCGGTGGACCATCACAGACATAACGCTTCAATGGTTATGAAGGGGAAGTTGTTCACTTGCGGTTCATCCTTTTCGAGTTCTGGGAACCAGCCGACTTCGACTTCTTTTGATTCACGTTTCTGGGGTATTTCACCCAGCAATTTTGGGAGCAATTGTGCGCACTTTTTTCTCCAGCTTGTCCTGTGCATTTTAATGTGCCTTTTCTGTCCCAGTATTCCATTCTTTCAATTCCTCTTTTTTTATTTCTTTGCTTTTTTTGTGAAAAGAAAAGAAAACATGCTGGGCACGTGCTGATTGATGTAAAATACTTAATGAGCGCGGTTATGTTTATGGCCAAAAAAAGAAAGGAATGAAAAGGGTTTGGAGAGATAACGATTGGAAAAGGTAAAGTTTTCTAATTATACTAATATACAATACATGGCAGTTAAGGGGGAAGAAGCTATTCGTCCTTAAAATATTTTCTTTCTTTGTTCTAATTGCTAGTGCTATAATGTGATATGATACATTTTATAATGGGTCTATTTTAATATTCATTGTATGACCGCTAGCAATTCTACATTAAACTTTTTTAATATTGCAAAAAAAAAACTAAAAAATTACCACAAATATTATTTTAAAACCTATTATAGTTATAGATTATAAGCTGTTTTAAATGGTCATTCTAGTAAAAATATTTTATTTAGCTCTTCCACGGTCGTTAAACAGACCGATAAGATAACTCGCTATTAGTGTGGGATAGAAACACTTAAAATAAATACGTGTATTTCTTTTACGCTACAGTCAATTATATTCCACACCAATTCAATTCACACATATCTATTTAACTCAGATTAAGTAAGGTTATCAACCTTTAGTTTGTAATTGATTTGGTAAAATGAGTCTACAATTTTTATAAAAACCAAAAAAGCTATAAGCTTTAGATATGCACAACGTTTAATAGATTCTGCTAGCTAAATAGGTTTCTATCGCTTAAAATACAATAGTTTTCCAAAATTGTCAGATATATCCTTTTTACACATTCGCTTTGTACAATTTTTAAAATAAATAATAGCCAAGTTTAATAATAAGAAACTTTGTTTCACACTTACCACAAGATCCAAATGTGAACCAAAAAAAAAAATGTTTTACCCATAATGACATAAGTTTATCTTACCATGGGTACATTTAATCGGTACTCAAGGTTTCTTGTCACCAATGAGACCAGTTTCCAACCCAGAAAGATCACAATCATAGCAGTCAGTCCGATTCGTCCAAAAAGTACCGAAACAACATCCACGTCATAATATTGCATTAGGGACATTTCCTGCTCGGCGATTCGCATATGATCGGCTCCCTTGTGCCGCAGGATATATTCTGTCCACCAAATGCCGGTCTCCATAGGAGACATGGGTTGGTCATGAAATCGGTTTGATAAATCCCGGGCATTTTGCCTATAACTAGCATTCAACAACATATCCTCAATGATCATGACAACGCCGTCGCTAGTGAGATCTGTATAATCCAGCCTTTGGGCCACGCCCATCTGCTCCATGCGCTTGGTGTTCTGGAACTGATCATAGAATAAAGGAACACAGAGCTGGGGAACCGCGTAGTGAGCGGCTTCGATGGTGCTCAAAAGTCCAGCATGATTGATAAAGAGCTTTACGTTGGGATGATTGAGGATCTCTCGCTGGGGAAAAAACGATCTCGCAAAGACTTTCTTAGAATCATTGAACATAGCTGGATTATTGTTTTTCCATATCACTCTCTGCTTTAGTTGCTTAAAGGCGGCAAACAGAGTTGTCTGCATTCCCGGCGGCAACCACTTATCCCGTACTTGCAGACCCATTGAAAAGTATATGACTCCATGTTCGGCTTCATCCAGTAACTTTTGAAGCTCGTCATCCAAGGGTATCGCAGGGTCGGCAAGGTGCATGCCGGCCACTTCCACGATATTGGGAACATTACTGCGCACTCGACCCATGCTGAAATGCTGATTGATCAGGATCAGCGAGAATCTCCGGCGCAGATCATGGATACTGGATGACGCTCCGGGAAAGTACTGCTTATAGAGGTCGATTTGGGACGGCAGGTAAATGAAACGCTCCACTAGACGCTCTTCGGTGATGAAGATCAGGTTGTGCCACTTCTCCATCAGACTGAGGCCGGGCGAATAGCCCAAGGCGGACATCGGTTCGTAGATACTCGGCGCCGAGTTCCCCACCAGGAAGTCAATGTTCCACGCCGATCCGTAGGCGGCGATTCCCACCAGCGGTGCATTAAAGTGCTGCGAAAATCCGTAAAGGGCATCGGTGTGTGCAGCCTCCATAATCACCATCGAAAACTGGGCACTCGAGTTGTGGAGCAGCTCCTGCACCCCAGGATCTCCCAGTACGAATCGCGAACAGTTGTTGAAGTATTCGGACACGAACTGAGCCTCCATCCATTTGCTAAGCTCCAAGTCGAAATCATAATTCATGAGTTCTGTAAATGGTTTAAAAAGTTAAAAAAAAAAAGAAATATAAATAATTGTTTACATATACAAAATTATTTTGATTATTTCTTGGGAAAAACACAATTTCTTTTTGGTGATTCGAATGTGCAGTCAACTAGACAAGCACAAAAAAACAAGAAAGGTATATTTTTTTTGGTGGAGAGAACATTGTTTAAGGTTTTTTTTTTCAAAGCAATAAATCCAGGCAGTTTGACAAATCAAAAACTGATAATCAAAAATAACCATGTGGTTTCTATTTTCAAAGTACTCAGAGTAAGGTAACGAACCTTGCTTCAGCATATCTAATTTGGGCACGCGTATATGATGAACCGCTTCTATGTCGGGCATATCTGCGACGGACGATATCACAGTCAGTTGGTGACCCCGCTGAGCGAGGTTCTTCAGGTACGGAGTGACCAGCAAATAGGACGAGCCAAAAGTGTACGAGAAGATGGCCAAAATGTTTTCCGTCTCGGCTAGTCTTGGGCACAGCAGGCCAAGTATTAAGGCCGGGAGCAGCAGACCAGCAATGCCCGGGCCCCTAGACATTTCACGAAAATCGACCTCACATGCCGATGCCCGAAGCGATACTGCTTTGGTAAAAATACTCCGCCAGAAATGCTCGATGGAGCAATCTAATCAGTGTACAGAATGAACGAATATGCGAAAGAGTTCGAGCAGAAAATGCGAAATAGTTCCAGTCAGTCAGTTGAAAATCGGTTGCCCAATCGACATGTTGCGCCTGGGGCGATGGCTTTTCCCGGTGCTCGGTCTGATATTAAACGCGATCTGCTGGATCCGCGGTGCCCGAGTTCTTATTGTCGATCCCTTCGAATCGCACGCGCAGTGCCGTATGATGACACCCTATATTCAGGCACTCACCGATCGGGGTCACCAGCTGACTGTGATACATGCGTTCAAGCACTGCAAGCTTATTCAAAATGTGTCCTTCATTCGTATTAGGGATAATAATAACGTTATTTCGGGTACGTGAGTAAAGGGTAAATAAAAACGAAATCTTACAGCCATTAAAACCAGTAATTTTTTTAGATAAGCTTAGACGCGAGATAACAAATATTATTCCGTCGTCAAGTGACAGAATTGAATGGCAATTTTTTATTTGATAGATAAACGCATCAAAATTTAGATGAATGTATTTTAAAGGAGTAACATTTGTTACGCTGATTTAAGATTTGGTTGCTTGTTTTAATTAACATAAGTTTTGAGTGACTGATAATTAATTCAGTTAGAAAATCAACTTAAAATCTATTTCTTTGATATATTTTAAAATATAGATATTTTAAAATAGTAACAGAAATGACAATATAATTAAGTGTAACTCATATACATTTTTATAAGTTCTCTTCGGTTTCGTTTATGTTACTGTAGACTTTGAAGACATCCTGGAAATCCCTTCTACTCAGAGCAAGTGGGAAGAAATGAGTTCTATGGCGAGAATCATGGCTAACGTTGGTCTAAACGTACTGAATAATGAGGAGGTTCGGGCATTGATGCAATCGAATGTTACATTCGACTTGGTGGTGGTCGAACCATATTTCACCGACGTGCTCTACGGATTGGCAGCGCACTTCAAAGCCCCGCTGATCGGACTTTCCACCTGTGCAGCGGATTGGAATCTTAATAGCCTCTTGAGTCACGGATCATCCAATTTGGAGGAGCCTCTTCAAGTTTTCAGCGCGTTACCCTTGCGAAATATTATGAATCGAATGTACACTTGGTACTACACCACCGAGGAATGGCTGCTGATGCAGTTGGTTTTCCTACCGAAACTAAGACTCGTACACGATCACTTCTTTGGCCATCTCGATCGGAGTTTTCTTGAGATCCGACACAGCTTCTCTTTACTTCTGATGAATCAACACTTTAGCTTGTTTCGGGCCAGATCGAGTGTTTCGGGTATGATTGAGGTGGCTGGTCTTCACATACCCAAACAGATTCCAAGATTGCCGGAGGATCTGCAGTTGTTCATCGATGAGGCCGAACATGGTGTGATCTACTTCGCTTTGGGTGTGGAGCAGAAGAGTAAAGATTTGCCGAAAGAAACCAAGAAAATGTTGCTGGAAAGTTTTAAGTCGATGCCACAGCGCGTTATTTGGAAGTTTGAAGAGGAACTTCCTGAGAACTTAACCAGTAATATATACCTATCCGAACTTTTGCCACAACAAGCCATATTGGCACATCCAAACGTAAGGCTTTTTATTAGCCACGGCGGGATACTAAGTATTATCGAGGCCACCTATTTTGCGAAGCCCGTTTTGGGCGTACCTTTGTTCTTCGATCAATTCAGGAATTTGAAAGTTTTGATGGAGCAGGAAGCAGCCCTACAGTTGAACATAAACAGCATGACAAAAGAAGAGTTCATGGATACTTTGGGAAACCTAATAAATCAACCAAAATACAGGGAAAATGCCTTGGCCATGTCCCAAAAATTTCGGGATAGGCCTATGCATCCAATGGAGACGGCCATTTATTGGACAGAATACATCATGCGCTACAAGGGAGCAAATCATCTGAGAGTACTTCAATCACAAATAAAGCTGGTCGAATATTATTGCCTGGACAAATTCCTGATAGTCGGAGTACGTTTATTCTTGGTAGTGGGCATAGTTCTTTTTGCGCTTTTGAAAGGAAGGAGTTGGCTCGTTCGTTTGACCAGATACGCGAAGCCGTTTTGGAATCATCACAACATCGAAGCGGTTAGTTAAAATATTTATAAAAAGTTGTTTGACTTTTTAAAACAACTTTTAGTTTTTATAGAGATAGGTCAACTTACTAGTAGTAGTAAATCAAGATTCGATTTCACTACAAACTGTTAAGTTTACAAATTGGATATATATCGTTTTAGTAGTTAAAAAATATAAGTAAAATTAATGGAAAAAAACTAAAAGTGCTTTTGTATATACGTAAAAATAAAATAAATTATACATTTTCCGACATTTTTTTAGTTTACTTTGTATTGATTACAGCATGTACAATAATTGATAAGCACAACAGTAGCTTTATCTAATCTTAATTGAATTTATAATTATGACTGTTTCTAAGTGTTTCCAAACCTATTTTTGGATTGGCTGTGTGCTTATGGCTTTGAAACGGTGTATAAATAAGCATTAAATGTTTTATGTTAAAATATTTCAAAACTCCAAAATGAATTTTTAACTGTGAATAAAATTAACTTTAATTTAACGGAATAAATCTAATATTTTTGCAAAATGAAAAAGTAAGCAACGGACAATGAGCATCAACGGAAAAGATTTAATTTAGCTTGTCAGTAATTACTATTTTAAAAGAACAAGAAACAAGAAACCCCTATAAACTCTGCGTGAATCGACCTGACATGAATCCGCCTGAATTGATACTGTTTTGGTGTAAATACCCCGCCAGCCTAGCTCGATGGGACAATCTAATCAGTACAAAATAGGCAAAAATGTGCAAGAGTTCGAGTTAAAAACCCTCCAGTTAGTCAGTTAATAAACGGGCGTTCGGCCAATATGTTTTGCACGGGGCGATGTCTTTTGCCGGTGCTCGCTGTAATATTGAACGCGATTTGCTGGATCCACGGCGCCCGAATACTCGTCATCGCACCCTTCGAATCGCACGCTCAATGCCTTTTGATGACACCCTATATTCAGGCACTCACCGATCGGGGTCACCAGCTGACAGTGATTCATGCGTTCAAGCATTGCAAGCTTATTCAAAATGTGTCCTTCATTCGTATAAGGGATAATAACAACGTTATATCGGGTTCGTAATAGTGAGGTTGAAATATAAATGGAGAAACATTAGCCTTCCAGCACAATTATATAATTTACCGATTAAAGCAGGACGTATTCCTTAGAAATATATAAAAATATGCTATATATTTAAACAATACTGTTAACATTTCATGGCAGTAATTATAGCAAGAGCCTTATCTTATCTTAAACTCAGTAATTTTCTTTGATGAGGCAAATTTACCTCTGACGTCAGATAAACAATATTATACCGTCGGAAAGGGATAAAATCGAATGACAATCTTAGGTTTCAAGACAAAGACTACGGTCACCAAGAAAAAAGCTTAAGCCATGTATGTATATGGTATAAGGTCAACCTACGGGGACAAAATACGGAATTTAACTGGTAAACTTGATTTAAGACTTTAGTAGAGAGCTTACTGTAGATACTATTAAATATAAAGTTCCCGGTTGACATTAATATATTTAACATGTATACTGCATAAGCAATAATAGGTTTACTTCATTTCGTTATATGTATTTTTTAAAATATATTATATGCAAATAAATATAAGTCCTAGAAATGCCCATATGTTATTGGAAACCAAGTTAAAAGAATAATTTCCTTTGATTTTTTCGTTTACTCCAGACTTTGAAGAGTTCTTAATGATCACTTCTCCGGCGAGCAAGTGGGGAGAAATGAGTTCCTTGACCAGAATCATGGTTAACGCTGGTCTAAATGTCCTGAATAACGGGGAGGTTCGGGCCTTGATGCAAGCGAATGTTACATTCGACTTGGTGGTGGTCGAACCATCTTTCACCGATTTGCTCTACGGACTGGCAGCGCACTTCAATGCCCCAATAATCGGACTTTCCACCTGTGCAGCGGATTGGAATTCTAATACTCTTGTGGGTCACGGAGCCTCCATTTTGGAGGAGCCATTAATGCCGTTGAACATGATACCCGTGAGAAGTATTTGGGATCGCATACACAGTTGGTACTACACAACCGAGGAATGGCTGTTGGTTCAGTTGGTTTTCCTACCGAAAATAAAACTGGTTCACGAGCACTTCTTTGGCCATCTGGATCAAAGTTTCTTGGATATCCGGCACAACTTCTCTTTACTTCTGTTGAACCAACATTTTAGCTTGTTTCGACCTAGGTCGAGTGTTCCAGGCATGATCGAGGTGGCCGGCTTTCATGTCCCCAAGGAGGATCCAAGCCTTCCCAAGGATCTACAGGTGTTCATCGATGAGGCCGAATATGGTGTGATTTACTTCGCTTTGGGTGTGGAGCAAACAAGTAAGGATTTGCCGGAGGAAACCAAGAAAATGTTGCTGGAGAGTTTTGAATCGATGCCACAACGCGTTATTTGGAAGTTTGAAGACGAACGTCCGGAGAATTTAACCAGTAACATATACCTGTCCGAACTTTTGCCACAGCAAGCCATACTGGCACATCCCAATGTAAAGCTCTTTATAAGCCATGGCGGAATGCTCAGTGTTATTGAGGCCACATATTATGCGAAGCCCGTTTTGGGCCTGCCTTTGTTCTTCGATCAATTCAGGAATTTGGAAGTTTTGATAGAGGAAGAAGCAGCCCTTCAGTTAAATATTAACAGCATTACAAAGAAGGATTTTAAGGATACTGTCTATAGCTTAATAAATCAACCAAAGTACAGAGAAAATACATTGGCTATGTCGCAAAAATTACGTGATCAGCCCATGCATCCCTTGGAAACTGCCATCTATTGGACCGAATACGTCATGCGCTACAAAGGAGCAAATCATTTGAGGGTCTCTCAATCACAGGTGAAACTGGTCGAATACTATTCCATTGATAAATTCCTGCTGGTCGGACTACGGTTGTCCATAGTCGTGGGTATAGTTTTTATGGCCCTTTGCAAAGGCAGGTGTTGCCTCATTTATTTGGCTAAATTAGCAAATTCTTCTTTGTCTTTACCTGGTATTAAAAGAAATGTCGAACTGCCTAGTATAAATACAGGTTGAGCTTTAATCGAAATATTTGAATTAATATTTTTTGCTTTTAAGAGTTCATCAATAAGCAAGATTTGCGTAATTTTATAATATTTGATCGTAATGACGTCGTGTTATTTTTAATTTATTTTTTAAATACAATGAATAGCGAGTTGTAAGTTACAGTTTAATTTATATATAATTTATATAATTTAATATGTATATTATATAATTTAATAATTATATTATATATTATATTATAAATAATTTTTATATATTTATATATAATTTGGTTTCGATTGTAATTTTTCATTGTTATTTTTAGGCCTAAAAGAATTATATGCACAATAATGGCTTTATCTTATCTTAATTGCCTTTTATTGATGTTTGTCTCTATGTGTCTCCAGACTTAGTCTTAAAACGCTGCTTAGAGAGCATATATTATTGAAGGTGTGGTTAATAAAACATGAAATTATTTAATTTTAACGCTTTACAAATTAAGTAAATAAGTATATGTGTTACTTCTATATTTATATAATACAGATTAATTACAATGTTTTGTAAAATAAAGAACATAAAACCAGTTTTTGTATTTCGATTTTAACGTATTTACTATATTAAAATATATTTAAAGGCTAAAAACAATTTTAATTTAATTTTGTAGAATTATTAAAATTCTTGCAATATATTGTTCTCTAAAATATTATTGTCTTCAAACTAAAGTGATTAATTTTTAGTTAAAAGTAGGGTATACGTTTTTCGTTGACTCTGAAAACGAAAACCGTGTTCATTTAAAAGTTTTAGTAAACAAAAAGAACGAGAGAAATTGACAAACAAAAAGTCGAATGCCGATAAGCCGAAAAGTAAAGAGAACCAGATGGAAGAAAAGAGTACTATTTGCCTCTCTTATCGCTTGCATAACGACTAAATATTGTATGTAAACAATCAACAATGTTGACTAAGGCAAGCCGGTGACGCCAAAAAATATACGTACATACATAAATACATTTAAAATAAGAGAATACGGAAATTCGGCTTTCTCTTAAAACTAAACTTCTGTCTCGCTCCAGTGAATTTAAATTGTATGGAATGAGCATAATTTTCGCGATTTTTTTAATCGGCACTCACCGATAATTATATATGTATATAGAACAATTTCTGTGATAGATTAGTTGCCGTTTGTCAGCGAAACGCTGTGGTTGCTTTGGAAATGGGAACTATATGTTCTGGATTTGGGCTGGGGCTTTTGCTATTTGGCTCGATCTTTCTGTTCAGCGCCAATGCCGATGAAGGAGTTCAAAGCTCACGAATTCTGGCCGTTTTTCCCTTTCCCGGCCGATCGCAGTACATATTCGCCGAACAGTATCTCAAGGAACTGGCCCGTCGGGGTCATAATGTCACCGTGATCAACACTTTTGGCAACGAAGAAAACGATCCCAACTTTCATGTGATTGGTGCCAAAAAAATACACGAAATAATGGCAGGTAAGATATGCTTTTAAAGTAGTCACATCAATGTTTTTTTACGACCTGAATTTACAATTGCTTAAAGAAATTTGTAATTTATTTAGAGTAAGAACCTAAAATTTTTAATATAAAAATTATGTATTTTATATTTTTTTTTATTACAAAATATATATCCGATCCTATAAAATGATTTATTTTTGATCAGGGTGATTTAATAGACAAGTCTGTTTTAAGGGATTATTTTCTCTTATACAAGATTAACAGAAATGTTTTAGTTTAAGATTTTGATTTCTAGACTATTTTGGTTTAATTCAAATCTAAAATAAAATGGAGGAAATTTGAAAATTGATGTGACCAACCCTAAACTATGAGCCTTATTTCAGCTAGCTCTTTTAATAATACCTTGTATTACAGCATTTGGAAATATGGACTACAATCAGGAGGCAAGCCAATGGAAAGTTTTGACCATGACCACCGAGTTCCTCAATCTCCTGACTTCAAGTGTTTTGGACGATCCAGCTGTAAAGGAATTGTTGGCCAGTTCGCAGAGTTTTGATCTGGTCGTTTTGGAAACGGTTCAAAACGAGGCGCTGTTTGGCCTGGCCCAGCATTTTGGGGCCCAGACCATAGGAATTTCGTCGTACGGCACCGATATTCATATCGATGAGTTAATGGGCAATACATCGCCATTATCCTACAATCCCTTGTTGCTGTCATCGAGAACAGAGCGAATGGGTTTCGAGGATCGTTTGCGAAATGTGTGGGAGGCATCCATCATCTGGCTGCACAAGAGAATTATCCACCTGCCCACTCAGCGGGATTTGTATGCGAAATACTTTCCAAATGCCAGGAAATCGTTGAAGGAAGTTTTGGATAGCTTTTCGCTCATGCTGCTGGGCCAGCACTTTTCGCTGAGCTATACAAGACCCTATTTGCCCAACATGATCGAGGTGGGTGGTCTGCACTTGCAACAGCAGCGAAAGAGTCAGCCTTTACCAGAAGAATTGGCAAAATTTGTGGAGCAATCCCCCCAGGGAATTATATACTTCTCAATGGGCTCCAATATTAAGAGTGCAGATTTACCAGCGGCAACCCGACAAGTTCTAATGGAAACATTTGCCAGTCTGCCTCAACGTGTTTTGTGGAAATTCGAGGACGACCAGCTGCCTGAAAAGCCTCCGAATGTGTTTATAAGCAAGTGGTTTCCCCAACCAGATATCCTGGCACATCCGAATGTGAAGCTATTCATCACCCACGGAGGACTACTAAGCACCATTGAGAGTATTTACTTTGGCAAGCCCGTCTTGGGTCTGCCAGTCTTCTACGATCAGCACTTGAATGTGCAGAGGGCCAAACAGGCGGGATATGGTCTCAGTGCGGATTTGTGGAGTGCTAATGCCACAGGACTGACCTCCCTTATTCAGGAACTTTTGAGTAGTCCCAGCTATGCGGCAGCAGCACAAATTAAGTCCAAGCTATTCCGCGATCAAAAGGAAACCGCCTTGGAGCGATCGATTTGGTGGACCGAATACGTGCTAAGGCACAAGGGCGCCACCCACTTGAGATGTGCTGCCCGGGATCTGGACTTCATTCAGTTCCACGGACTGGACGCCTGGGGACTTCTACTCGCAGTCACTCTTGTCTCTATACTGATCTTCGTGATTCTACTACGCTATCTTCTGAGGGGACTCTGTTATGTCATCTCAAAACGTCGGGGGGCGTCGAGTAAATTGAAGACCCAGTAACCAATTAAAGTCCATTAACTAGTCAAGTTTATGCCGCCACCGATAAATTTGTATTGTTGTATTGTATTTGTTTTATTATTAACGTTTGTGTAAAGGTACGTTTGAAATTAGTTGTTCTGTTACTAGCACTTATTAGTATAATAATATTAAATGAAGTTGTAATCCATATTAAAGCTCAGCAAGTTGAACAAATTTTGGTCTTGTGTGGGGTAAGCCGATTGAAATTAATCCAACTAATTGTTTATTAGTGATATCAGGTGCATCAAGGTATAAATGCTCATGTTAAAGAATCACTATAATCATATTTGTGCACGCATAACCGTCGGGCTTTGTTCAGAAAAATATTTAATAAAACAAGAAAGAAAGCAAACTTCGGCAAGCCGAAGTTCATATACCCTTGCAGCTATCGCAAGAATTAAATATTTTTGAAAACATTAAAATTATGATTTACTTGCGTATATGTTTAAAAACATTGAAGCTATGACGATTTGCAGCTTAATTATTTGATTGTTCTTTTATATTTTTTTTATTTGTATGGAGCTATATGATATAGTCGTCCGATTTTGATGAAATTTAAACCATAATTCTGAAATATTTAACCATTGCTATATGTCGAAGAACTAAGCAAAAAATTAAAAAACAGCAAAGTTATAATTTTTTTTCAATTATTTTTCCGATTGTTCCTATGGGAGCTATATGCTATAGTCGTCCGATCCGGCTTGTTCCGACTTATATACTACCTGCAATAGAAAGACAACTTTTGGGAAAGTTTCATGCAGATAGCTTTAAAACTGAGAGACTAGTTTGCATATAAACGGACGGACAGACGGACAGACGGACAGACGGACAGACGGACGGACAGACGGACAGACGGACATGGCTAGATCGACTCTACTAGTGATGCTGATCAAGAATATATATACTTTATAGGGTCGGAAACGTCTCCTTCACTGCGTTGCAAACTTCTGACTGAAATTATAATACCCTTTGCAAGGGTATAAAAATATTTGAAACCAAGATTTTTATGTATTTATGTAAAAAGCAGACCTATAACAAACAATGTAAACTATGAGTTGGGAAGTTTATAATTTTATTGATTTATTAGTGTCGTGAAGATATCGAATGCTGAGATACGACTTTCGGATTATACTTCAAAGTTTTTGAACTAAAAATCATCTTTGTAACTTTGGATTTTGCTCGTTTGATGGATGAGATGGGCTTAGATGGGGCACAGTGTAGTGATGGGGTGCGACGTTGAGATGTGGATCGCCTACCAAATCGCCGTAATCGCATCTGTTGAGAATTGCTATCGCATGTCAGTGTCCAAAAGTGTTATCTAATAACCGAGCTCTATGCTGTAATGTGCGTTTGCCGATTTAGTTTATTGCTTGAGTCTGTTAAAACCAGACGACCTGTAAGATGCTGGGCGTTCATCTGAGTGTTTTGTTGCTGTTGCTGCCTGCTTGTCTCCAGGCTGCCAGAATACTGGCCGTATTTCCCTTTCCTGGACCATCGCAGTACATAAATGTGGTACCCTATCTGAAGACACTGGCCTCTCGGGGTCACCAGGTGACCTCGATTAATGCTTTTCCGCAAAAGAAACTAGTGAAAAACTTTCGAGACATTCCCATTCCTGAAGTTTTTAACAATTATGATGGTAAGTACACTTAAAAATTATTAAGGATGCTGTTTTTGTTTCCGAGTGCAGAAACACAAAGATAGCTGTAACGCCTAATTGCTCGACTTAGTTTAATGCCTCTTCTGATCTTTCTAGAAATAATAAACAAGCTGGCCGATCCAATGAATTTATGGCTGGAGAACAATTTCGTTAACAAGTTCTTTGTGGACATCACACGCTCAGTGCTTGCCAATAAGGAGGTGACTGAAACACTCCTGCCTCCTGGAAAGGATCACTATGATCTGATTATTGTGGAGGCCCTACGATCGGATGCCTACTATGGATTTGCGGCCCACTTTAATGCCCCCATTATAGGCATCTCCACCTTTGGAACCGATTGGAATATAGATGAGCTGGTAGGCAATGTCTCGCCTATATCGTATACACCCCTGGTAACAGCGGGCTTCACCGATCGCATGACTTTCGGGGAGCGCGTGTCTAACTTTGTGGATACTACAATTGCCTGGGTCAACTACAAATTGGTACATATGCCTGAGCAGGAAAAATTGTATGAGAAGTACTTTCCCATAGCTTCAAAACGGGTTCCACTCAATGAGTTGAACAGAAACTTCTCCCTGGTGCTGCTAAATCAGCACTTTTCGCTAAGTTTTCCGCGCTCTTACGTTCCAAATATGATTCAGGTTGGGGGTCTGCACATATCCCACAAGCCAGCTGCATTGCCCAAGGACTTGGAGGAGTTTGTTCAGGGTTCCGGGACGCACGGTGTGATTTACTTTTCGCTGGGCTCTAATGTGAAGAGCAAAGATCTGCCGGCTGAGAGACTTCAACTGATCCTAAAAACCTTTGCGACTCTGCCGCAACGGGTTCTGTGGAAATTCGAGGACGACCAACTGCCTGGAAAACCTGAAAATGTTTTCATCAGTAAATGGTTCCCTCAGCCGGATATTTTGGCCCATCCCATGGTCAAACTCTTTATTACCCACGGCGGGTTGCTGAGTACCATAGAGAGCATTCATCATGGTAAACCAGTATTAGGACTGCCCTTTTTTTACGATCAGTTCCTCAATGTTAAGAGGGCCACGCAGGCAGGTTTTGGTTTGGGGCTGGATCACAAGACAATGACGGAGCAGGAGTTCAAGGAAACCATTGAACGGTTGGTCAAGGAGCCGCGATTTGCTGAGAAGGCCCGGCAGATGTCGGATCGGTATCGGGATCAGCCCATGACTCCTCTGGACACGGCCATTTGGTGGACAGAGTACGTCCTGCGGCACAAAGGAGCCTACCACATGCGAGTGGCTGGCCAGGACTTGGGTTTTTTCGCCTACTACAGCTTGGATGTCATTGCAGCCCTCTTGGCTGGTGCTCTCCTGATCCTTACAGTCACGCTGGGTCTGATATGGAAAATAGCTAAGATAACTGGACTTGGAAACACCAAGAACAAACAAAAAACCCAGTAAATCGAAAGAACAGTACATAGATCGATGTAAACACTGAAATAAAGGGAGATAAGAACCGAAGTAACGCATTTGAAAGTATAGTAAAAGATTAATAATGTTCTAGACCAGATAAGCAATATTTGGTTATGTTGATTTACAGTCCCTTTTTCCGCGTCATTCAGTGGGCTGTTTTATTGAAAAGGGAAATAATCTTATCAGCTGAAATAATTTCTTCATTCTGTCTGGTAAGGTTTGCTAGTCAGTCTATCGTTGAAGTTTGGGCAACACGCATGCCCAGTCGAAATATGTTGGTTCTGAGATCGTTCACTCTTTTAATGGTTTTTCAGCCCGTTTTCTTGGAAGGAGCTCGCATTCTCGCCTTGTTTCCCATACCAAGTCACTCTCATTATTATCACGCCTTACCCTATCTGAAAAGGTTAGCTTCTTTGGGGCATGAAATAAGCTCTGTGAGTCCATTTCCATTAAAGGAACCTATGACCAATATATACGAAATCCTTGTTCCGGAAGTGTTTGAGAATATTGAGGGTAAGTTGAAGTCTTAATGGTTTACGCTAAAGGGCTGATACTTGCTTGACTCTAGCGATTATATTAATTATATTCAAAAATGAATACTTCCTGACCTGCAATTAGCAAACATAATTGTTTTGTTACACTGCTTGGACTAGTAGACTAGAAAAAGTTTCAGTTTTTTAATGCTCAGAATCGGAGTCAATAAATTTCTTGTAATTATTATAAAATATATAAATTTTTTTCAGAAACGATTAAAAGTTTATCTGCGTTCAAGGGCACTTGGAAATATATTGAATTCATCAACACGTACAACCTTAACCTCGCAAAGTTAGTGCTGAACAATGACGGAGTTCGTCGGGAGATACTTAAGCCTGGAAAAGCTAAGTTTGATCTAATAATAGTGGATCTCTGGCGGCTCGATGCTCTCTATGGTTTGGCGGCCTATTTTGAGGCCCCAATAATTGGAATAGCTTCTTACGGCACCGACTGGAAGATTGATGAATTGGTGGGCAATACATCACCGTTGCCGTATCTGCAGTCTCCGGGGTTTCGATGGTACGATCTGGAGACCTACGGAGGACGTTTGGCACACTTTTTGCAACACACTATTACCTGGATAAATTGGCGTTGGCGGCACGAAGAAAAGCATGAGGCGCTCTACAGAAAGTATTTTCCTAAAACAGCTGAAAAGCAGCCGCTGTCCGAGATTACAAGAAACTTTGCTTTGATTTTGGTCAACCAACATTTTACATTGGCTCCTCCTCGGCCATATGTTCCCAATGTAATCGAAGTGGGTGGTATGCATATTAATCAGCATCCGAAAGCTTTACCCAAGGATTTGGAGGATTTTATCGAAGGTGCTGGTGAACATGGAGTAATTTACTTTTCTCTTGGCACCAATGTTAGAGGAAAAAATCTGGCAAAAGATCGCCAGAAAGTATTGATCGAAACATTTGCAAACCTGTCGCAGCGTGTCCTGTGGAAATTTGAGGACGAGAATTTGCCTGAGAAGCCCTCAAATGTTTTAATTAGTAACTGGTTTCCACAGCAGGATATTCTGGCCCATCCAAAAGTTAAGCTTTTTTTAACCCACGGGGGATTGCAGAGCACCGTCGAATGTATACACCATGGCAAACCCATGCTGGGGCTTCCCTTTTATTTTGATCAGTTCCGCAATATGGAACATATTAAGAGACAGGGTCTTGGTCTAGTTTTGAACTATAAGACTATGACCAGCGTTGAGTTAAAAAATGCTATCATCCGCTTGCTGACAGAGAAGAGTTTCGATCTAACGGCAAGAACAACAGCGGCTCGATTTCGGGATCAACCCATGAGTCCTTTGGAAACGGCTGTCTGGTGGACTCACTACGTCCTCCGTCACAAGGGAGCACCTCATATGCGGGTGGCTGGCAGGGAATTGGACTTCTTCACCTATCACAGCCTGGATGTCCTGGGCACATTTGTTCTAGTCTTTCTGGTTGTTCTCGCAATTATCGTGCTTTGTGTGCTCAAGGTTTTGAAAACGATTTTAAGACGTGGAGTCGATATAAGAAAACGAAAGCAGAAAGTTCGCTAAAAGTTAATTACATTTATGAACAGTTTTTGTTTTTTTTTACGTTGTACAAAAAAAGGTAATAAGAAACCTGTCAATGCTTAATACACCTTCACGAATTATCTTTTGATTATAACCAGAATTATTTTTTTAAAATAAAATTATTTGAAAGAAAATGGCAAAAATAAAAATTGAACTATCACCTGCCAGATAATGGCAGACAAGTAACTACCTATTAGAAAACTCAACTTTGAGAGGCTCCACGATTCTCAGTTTGTTTTTACCACACAGAGCACATCGAAATGATGAGATATTATGATACGCGTATTTATTATATAACGATGCTTTTCTGGTCACACGCAAAGCTGTTCGATTGGCGTCCAGTGAATTATGGAATACGCATACAAATATTTGCGTGGCCGTGTGTATTTGTGCGCCTGTTTTGGCAGACGCATTTATTAACCGCTGCCAATCAGTTGCATTTGCTGCGTATGCGTAATATTAAATTGCACGGGGTCACTTCCGTTGGATTGGTTTGGCTCATTTGGGCTCGGCTGCTTTTGGCCGTTTTTGGCCGCATTGCCAAATGCGTAATCAAAAATTCATGAGCTATATAAATATGGTGTGGCTGGAATTGCCATTAGCTCTGTGTGTTTTGTGTTGGCATGCAAATGTAGATTATTTTATGCGATTTAGGGTTGGATCTGTCGACCCCCGCCGCTCCGGCTCTGAGCCCTTTAAATGTCCCGAGTGGTCAGTGAAGAAGAGTCCATTTAATGATGTCCTGTTTCGTGGTTGGACGCGTTTTTAATGAGGTGTTGATTGTTGCCGACGGAAACCGCCAAAATATTTGTTTCAAAAACACAAGTAATGTTTTGCCATTTAATTGCACCCGGTTTTCGGGGCCTATGCAATGCCATTATTTACGCAATGTCAGCAATTCCAATTTACAGTCTCAGAAATATGTTCAAATATCAGCTCACTTCCTGACTGAATCTAATCGGCAACTTGTACAAGCAAATCGTTCGGTTCACTGCGTTCCTTTTTTTTTAGCTCTTTTTCCTGTCGTGTTTTTACAACAATTTGTGCAAGCGAAAAGTCGAGAAAACTCGAGCTGCAGCTAAAAATTTCTGAAAATATTCTGAATGCTCGTTCATCTGGTGATAGTTATGCGATCAAGCAGTTTTTCATTTTTATGCCCTTGCAGAGGGTATTATAATTTCAGTCAGAAGTTTGCAACGCAGTGAAGCAGACATCTCCGACCTTATAAAGTATATATATTCTTGATCAGCATTACTAGTAGAGTCGATCTAGCCATGTCCGTCTGTCCGTCCGTCTGTCCGTCCGTCTGTCCGTCCGTCTGTCCGTCTGTCAGTCTGTCCGTCTGTCCGTCCGTTTATATGCAAACTAGTCTCTCAGTTTTAAAGCTATCTGCATGAAACTTTCCCAAAAGTTGTCTTTCTATTGCAGGTAGTATATAAGTCGGAACGAGCCGGATCGGACGACTATAGCATATAGCTCCCATAGGAACAATCGGAAAAATAATTGAAAAAAAATTATAACTTTGCTGTTTTTTAATTTTTTGTTTAGTTCTTCGACGTTTAGTAATGGTTAAATATTTCCGATTTACGGTTTAAATTTCATCAAAATCGGACGACTATAGCATATAGCTCCCATAGGAACAATCGGAAAAATAAATGAAAAAAAGTATAACTTTTCTGTTTCTTAATTTTTTGTTTAGTCCTTCGACATTTAGTAATGGTTAAATATTTCCGATTTACGGTTTAAATTATATCAAAATCGAACGACTATAGCATATAGCTCCCATAGGAACAATCGGAAAAATAAATGAAAAAAATTATAACTTTGCTGTTTTTTAATTTTTTGTTTAGTCCTTCGACACTTAATGATGGTTAAATATTTTCGATATACGTTTAAAATTATATCAAAATCGGACGACTATAGCATATAGCTCCCATGGGAACAATCGGAAAAATAAATGAAAAAAAATTATAACTTTGCTGCTTTTTAATTTTTTGCTTAGTTCTTCGACGTTTAGTAATGGTTAAATATTTCCGATTTACGGTTTTAATTTCATCAAAATCGGACGACTGTAGCATATAGCTCCCATGGGAACAATCGGAAAAATAATTGAAAAAAATTAAACTTTTCTGTTTTTTAATTTTTTGTTCAGTTCTTCGACATATAGCAATGGTTAAATATTTCAGAGTTATGGTTTAGATTTTATCAAAATCGGACGTCTATATCATATAGCTCCCATAAAAATATATAAAATAACTATCAAATAATTGAGCTGCTAATCATCATAGCTTCAATGTTTTTAAACATATACACAGTAAATCATAATTTTATTGTTTTCAAAAATGTTAAATTCTTGCAATAGCTGCAAGGGTATATGAACTTCGGCTTGCCGAAGTTTGCATTCTTTCTTGTTGTTTGTTAATTTCTGTGAGTTGTGATTTAGCTACTTGGCTTAAAAATTTAAGCCTTTAAGAACTAAAGTCAATATACCTATATAACATATTTTCAACGAATATTTCCTTTATTCATATTAATATGATGTGTTAAATAATATTTTGTATTTTGTAGAAATGTTAAAATATAAAGAGAATAAATTTATTACATTTGATTAAATGAAAAGTTTCGATTAAAAATCCAGGGATTACCCTAGGTAAAGCTTGCTAGTGGAAATAATTCTTCCCAGATTTGATACCGCTCTAGGAAAAAACCGCCGTTTTTTGCTGTAAGAGTGTCACCAATTTCCAGATAAGCCTGATCTCGAGAATTGTAAAGGGGCCAATTAAGATCTTTCAGATACTGATCGCTCTTGTTGTGGGGATCACTAAGAACAGCAAATAAATACAACCAATTCCATTAACTTAGAAAAAATTATCACTTACCCCTTTTGAGCAAATTCGATCCACATACGCGTCATACGCTCAATTGTTAAGTTTTCAGGGTCCTCTCTTTTTAATAGAGGACCTATAAGGCCCACATGAAACAGATATATAAGCTCATCATGGTGAACCGGACCTGCAAGTATAAGCCAAAATTAACGTATTTATATCCTTGGCTTATCTTATGTATACTTCATACCCATAGCTTTTTGATTATCGGGATTTTTAAGGAAACTATATCTGCCCTTGTACCGAAACAGATAGGTGTAAATAGGTGTGTGAGGGGCCATCATGCGAAGAAAGCGATGGAAGGACACTCCAATCAAGGCATCGCTTAAAAGTTCGCCCATACCTTTGAGGGATTTTGGGTATTCCAGCTTATCCCTGCTCTCAGGCATGTATTTATCTCTCAAAACTCGACTGGCGCTTCGTGATTGGGTTGAGTTTCGATCCAAAAGGAGGGCGATGGGAGCATAGTGTTCCCAATCTTGGTTGTACTTGCTCACAATACTTTCATTCCGAAGATCAACTGTGGGTTAGTACAAAAAACGGTGTTATTTATAATTGTAATAATCCCCTTTTAGTATACTACTTACAAAATACTCCAGAAAGGAATTCAAACTCCGTAATGCCAGTGATGAGGGGAACCTTGTGGAAATCGCCACGTCGAGCTGTTTTGAAGGGACTTTCGATAAGATATCGCTCCTGGCCAAAGTCCTCCTCAACTACTATTCTCCAGTTGAGCACGGGATTCCAGCCAAAATCAAACATTCCATTGTAGGTGCTCACATAATCCAGGTAGGGTTTTCGTCTCATACAGTCTACCATTTCCCTAACAGGTCCTTGCGGACACTTTAGCAATCTGGCCTGTCGTTGGGCCAATAGAAGGTCATTGCTTTTGAATGGCACTGGTCCATATGGTGAGGCGCTCATGCAGATGCCGCGATGGAAGAGACCTCTCGACATGGGCGACAGCATGTGAAGAGCCACACTAATACTGCCCGCACTGTAACCCACAAGAGTCACACTACCGGGGTCACCGCCAAAGCGGTGGATATGCTTTTGGATCCAGCGCAGTGCCACGACCTGATCCTTGAGTCCGGCATTGCCCGGAGCCTCCTTAGTTCCGGTGGCCAGGAAGCCCAAGCTACCCAGCCGGTAATTCAGCGAAACCAGGACACAATCGCGATCCATTAAATGTTCGGGACCTGCCAAATACTTACTCTGCCCCGAGAACACATAAAAGCCTCCAGGATGGATGAAGACGATTACCGGTCGCCGACCTTTTAAGTCCTTCGTATACACATTCAGCCGCAGACAGTCCTCGGAAACGTCGGTCATATTGTCCCACGGTTGCGGGCACATCGGTCCATCTTCAGTGGCATCAAAGGTCGTGGGTGCCCAGGATTTCACAGGCTGCGGGTTCACAAAACGCAAGTCGCCCAAAGGCGGTTCTGCATACCGAATGCCTCGAAAGGCATGGAAGGGCAATCCCAATCTGGAGGTCAAATTTGATCCCCGCACGAGTCCCAGTTCGGTGTCCACTTCGATGGAGAAAACTGACGAGCTGGCCAGTAGAACCAGCAGTTCCACTAAAAAGAACTTTATCATCTTGCCGCCTGACTTAAACTGAGTTGTAAAAGATTCCGTTGTCGTTTTTATACTAAATCTTGCGGCTCAGATTGCTTTTGGGGCTTTACCCAGAACGATTGCGAATGATCTGGCATAATAACAAGATCACTGGTCGTCTCTATATGTACGAATTCATACGATGTTGCACAGCTGAATAGTCGCTTTAGATGAGAACAAAGGAATGGGAGTGAGTAAAGCAGCTGCTCAAGGGATTCTTTGTTTTAAATACAAAATGTTATGACTTAAAAAACTAAACAAAAATATGTCAGAAGTTTGTAAAAATATTACATTAACTTCGATATATACAATTACATCTAAGTAAAATAGTTATATTATTATTCTCTTTATAAATGATACAAATTTTCTTGTGTTAGTTTAGCTAAATATGTAAAGAATAAGGCACAAATATTTATTGTAATACAAACTATAATTACGCTATTACACCTATTTTAGCCTCAATTGGTTCTGACTAAGTGCCCTAGATTGTATGTCTGAATTTTCACTGTTCGATTGAAAAATTCCCCGACAAGTCTAAAACAAGTTAAATGGAAGCCTACTTTTTGTAAGTATTAAAAATTAGGAAAGGCCTATTATTCTATTGATTTGAATTAGGTATACTTAACTTGACATTGACTACTGATTTTTGAACATCATTAAATTTTGTTTCTAAATGGGTATTTAATTTGTAATAGTGAACTCCAATAAAAATAATTTTTAACATTAATATATGTTTAATTATGTTTATTTACTACGAAAATATCCAGTGATTGGGATTAGTTTGATTGGGGCCAAACTGTCCTTAAAATTCTTTTGGTTTTTTAAAACTATCCCCTTTTTTTCTATATAATGCCTCTGTTGCACTTTTAAGCCGGATCGGCATTAAAGCCGCCAATATTTCCGCGACGGACGCTGATTTTCCTGCAGGATGGCCCAAAACAGTTTCAATAAGTTGGGCTAAAAGTTTTACAAGCCAGGCAAAAAAGATGAGAAGGGCAGAGGGCACGGCAAAGCAAATAAAAGCATTTAGCCGGGGGCTTTAGTGGGAGTGGCACAGGGCGTTGCACTCAGTTGGTTGCTGTTAAAAATTTGAACGCGCTGATGGGCATTTTAACAGCTGAAGCGTTAACTATGCGCAACTTGCAGCAGTAAGAAAGGAAAAAGCGTAGAAATAGGAGCCAACAAATAAAAAGGTAATCACCGTTCAATCAAAACTACAAATACCCTTAGCTTAAACAATAAATATATTTACTAGAAATAAATCAAAGGACGGTATTTAGTAGTAGTAGTAGTAATTTAAGTTAAATATATTTATAAAGGTGAAATAGAAATGTAGTTATTACATTGTTATTTTGAAATTAAGTGTAAGAATTAAAAAAAAAAGTAGCAGCGAACTGGAAAGGAGAATAGCATGGGCATCCGGCATTTTTTTGATAAAAGTCCACAATATTTTCCATTTCAGTTTACAAGTTTTCAGCCACAGGCCGAAACCAACCGCACAACCCCACTATAAAATCAAATGAATTGTTCACGAGCTTGACCAACAACAAAAAATGGTTAGAACTTTAAAGATAGTTTGGAGATAAATATATATTGACTTCCAAAAAAGCTTCTTGGTTTTTCATTAAAGTTTTGGTTCAACAAAATGTCGTAAGATAAACTTTGCTAGGTAAGATTCTCATTTTGTGAATTTATATTAATTTTATTTTTCTACAAAATTGAACCACTGAAACAGCAACAGCCTAGTTTATTATTAAGCACAATGAAATGGTCGAGGATACTTAACTTAATTATCACGTTTTATTAATTCCTTTTGGCTTTTTGTTTCGGTTTGGAACTTTCCTTCCTTATGAACAACTCCTGCAATAGGCGCCACACCCAACGGATCAGCAGGAAAATGCAGTAGAACACAAATATAATTCCGCCATAAAGGATCAGCATGGCATCCAGGTTGTGATACTGAATGAAGTTCAGATCCTGGGAGGCGCTCCTTAGGTATTTGGCACCCTTGTGCCGGGAAACGTGCTCCACCCAGAAAACAGCTCGCTCCAAGGGAGTCTGCTGCTGATCCCGGTATCTGTCGGACATTTCGCGCACCTTCTTGCTGGCCTCAGGATCTTCGATTAGTCGTTGAATGGCCGCCAAAAGTTTGGGGGCACTCAAATCCTCGTAATGTACAGTCACTCCATAACCATTCTGCTCGGCACGAGCCATATTCAGGAACTGATCGCCAAAGATCGGGATGCCCACAAAGGGTTTGCGGTGGTAAATAGACTCCGTGGTGCTCAGCAGACCACCGTGGGTGATGAAGGCAATCACATTGTCATGGGCCAGAATGTCGTCCTGGGGGAACCAGTCCGAGATGAAGACATTCGCCGGTTTTCCGGGCAGATCTGTGTCCTCGAACTTCCAAAGGACACGCTGCTTGAGCTGCGCAAAGGTATCGATCAGAGCCTGTCGTTTCTCCAGAGGCAGGGTTTTGCTCTTCAGGTTGGAACCCATCGAAAAGTAGATAACTCCATGCTGTGCTTCCTCGATGAATACTTGAATGTCCTTGGGCAGGGGCTGGCGCTTTCGATTGATGTGCATACCGCCCACCTCGATCATGTTGGGCGAATAGGGCCGGGGAAAACTGAGGGAGACATGCTGATTCAGCAGCACCAAAGCCGTGTTCTTGCGCATCTCGTAGAAGTCCTGCTTGTTGTTGGGGAAGTACTTGCGATAGAGGGCTTCCTGACGCGGCAGATAAAAGTAGTTGAGGAACACATACTCGTAGGTGAGGAAGGCCAGGTTGCCCACTCGCTCTGCGAGGGACATGTGGTCACTAAACTTGAGCAGAGCACTTGGAACATACGAGGGCGGTGATGGAGATCCAACCTACATGATTAAAATTAGTTTTCACCTCTATAAATCTTATTTAAAGATAAACCCACCAGGTCTGTGTTCCAGCTGATGGCTCCAAAAGTGCCCAGTCCAATAAGTGGGGCATTGAAATGCTCTGCCAGTCCGAAGTGGGCCTCGTTTAGGAAAACCTCCGATATTACGGCGTCAAAGGTTTGATTCGATTTCATCAGCTCAATTACGGAGGGTTCACTTAGCAGGAGCTCGGTTATTTCAATACCCATTTCATGGAAGTTAACGATCTGTTCGATAATAGGCTTTTTTGATGATTCCAATAAGTTGGCCATTCTTCCTAAAGTTGTAGGGAAACGCAAATAGGATAAGTGCCTTGTTAAATTGAGTAACTTATGTATTTGATAGCGGTTTCCAGGCAATCAATTTTCATCGGTATGCAATTTTGCGATAACAAAAAAGACATTTTCGAATTATTATATAAGCTTGGAATCTATCGACCCACTGTTTTTTTAATAAAAATTATGAAACTAACACTTTATAAAAGGAAAATAAATCAAAGTTTTAAGTCAGTCATAATTTAGATTATGTAATTTTTTCAATATATACTTTTACCATTTTCAACGCAGTGTAATTCTCAATTAAGTCATAATCATCCAAAAAGAGTACTTGTTTCATCCGAAAATAGATTTCGTGTTGTTCAAAAGTAAATATTAAAAACCATTTTATTTTAATCCAACCTGCTTATGTCATGATTTACTCAAATATATACATATAAGACCCTTAATAGTTTCACTTCTATTACACAATTAAATGTGTTTGCCAAGCCAACAAAGGTTTTTTTGTTGCGTTAGAACAAGGTCTTTATTATGAGTTTATAGAAAAATTTAATTGATGAAAAACAATTAGTCTAGCGCTGAGTTGCAGTGGGTAAACAAGTTTGATTGTGTAATGTTCTTACCAATCTGTTAGCTAAACTCACCTTGCATGGATGCTAGAGTGCTCTTGACCGTCACATCTTTGATGTTTTTGATGGGTTTTTTCAACTCGAACGGGGATACAATGGTCACCTGATGTCCAGCACTGGCTAATCCCTTGGCCAGGGCAGATCCCACATGGTAATGGGATCGGGCGGCGGTATGTAGAACCACCAAATAGTTATAGGCCGATACGCAGCTTAGAAAACAGAGAAGCAGTATGGCTAGATAACTGGTGTGGCCAGCTTTTTGTTTCATTTTTTCGATTTCCAAACTATGAATTAATTCGCGACAGCTGTGAAGTGCGTTCCTATCGGCCAGCGGTTTTGTTCTATGCAGCTGATATACGCTATACGGGTACGACTGCCTTGGCGACTCGGTATAAACTGAGCTAACTTGGGCATGCGATGAGGTAATTATAAGTGTTTGGGTTAGGTCCCAATTTGGGGAGAGACTCCAAATATTGGACATATGTATGTCTCTCTCACGAAATATCGTACTCTCGATCGCTCTTTCGAGCTTTGTTCTATCATCGTTACGCTGCCAAAAACATATATTCATCATTTGTAGGCTACTCGCGATCGAAATTCTCCCGCCTCTCATATGCATTGATAATGAGTTTTGGCTTTTTTTTTCATTCTCGTTCTCTTTGTTTTCCTTACCGGCTTTTCGGAGTATAAGTAACACTTTGTTTTGTTTTAGGTTTCTCCTCCCCTTCTGAAAACTGTTTGTGCTTAAACATGAATCAACAAAATATACTCAAAAACAAAATATGCGTTGGATTTAAAAAAAAAAAACTCTCTCCCTCTTATTTTAAAACGCCCTTGCGATTCATGTGCATGACGCGCACTTCGATAATATTTGGACGTGGATTGCTCAGTGAAACGTGATTGTTTAGCAACACCAACGAAGTACTTTTGTTCATCTCATAAAAGTTCTGTTTATTGTTAGGGAAGTATTTCCTATTCAGCACTTCATGTTTGGGTAGATTGATCAAGTTCTGGCACATCTATTCGTAAGCTTGGAATTACAGATTTTCGGCTCGCTCCCAAAAGACCATGTGGTCACCGAACCGAAGTAAATTATGCGGCACTTACGATGGTGGTGATGGATCCCACCAGACCTGAGGTCCACCCGGTGCTCCCAATGTGCTCAGGGTGATGAAAGGCGCTCCAAAGTGTTCAGCAAGCCCATAGTGGGCGTCGTTCATGAAGGTCTCACAGATGACTGCATCGAAAGTTCGGTTTTGAGCCATAAGCTCCTTCACTGCCGGACCCTTTAAAAGTGCCTCTGTCAAAACTATTCCAATAGATATGTGGTTGACCACATATAATCAGATGGCGTAAAATGAGATTCCATGAGATAAGCAATACGTGCCAGATCGTGAGAGAGTTTTAGAGAACAATTAAAAATAAGACATTGAGACAACAATGATTAGATTTTTGAGAGGTTTCTTCTGGGGAAATGGCGATATCAAAGTGACGTCATGACCGGCAGCCAGACCTTTGGCCAACGCGAAACCCACTGCGTGATGTGACTTGGATGCTGTGTGGCTCACCAGCAGATAAGAGTAGCACCAAACCGGAGCCAAAGAGGACACCAAAATAAAAAGCCGAATATTGAGGAGCCAACGCAATGCGTGCACTTTCGGAAATTCAAACTAAACTGAGTGGAGACTGTTTTTTTTACAGCCTGATAAGATAAGTTTTGACTGGATTAGCAATACGTCTAAAGTGGTTATTCGGACTTATGAAAGCAGATGGTACTTATAAAGCTAATATTACCTTTCTTAACAAACATACATACATACATATGTACGTACATACAATTTAATTAGACTCTTAAAATATTGCAAATATTTTGATTCGCTACTTCAAATGGGAGTTTTAAAATGAAATGGTACTATTAGCATTAAATCTGTGAAAATAACTTTATAATTTTAAAATTGATTTAATGTATGTAGGAGTATTTAATAAACTAGTTTAATTAATTTAAAATAATTTAAGTTAAAGCTCGTTCTCTCGCAAACAATATCTCTTATCATAAATTTCTCTTAGCTTAAAAGCTTTGGAAGAGTTGTGTTTGCTTGATTTCTCTTGAAAACTTAAGTGCTTTAATTTAAATGCTGATTGATCGGCACATTTGAAGCTCTTAACACTATACTACAAATTTGTTAAAAAATTTTGATCATAAAACAAAAAAACCGTTTAGCAACAAAATAAAAGCTCTTTTAAATAAAATAAGAATGCTACATATAGCTTTTTGATTCTATTTGTAGCTGTAGCTCATTCAACAGTCGTCATGACCTAATCAATTTTCTGCGATCAAACATGTGTGTTTACCATTTGGCTTGTGTCTATAACGTGTTGAGCCTCACGCAGAATTAGAATTTCACAATCACCAAGCGTACACTTACATACATATATCCGCTGACATCTATATAAATTTATGTTGAGCACGGCAAACATTCTCAGTCTGCTATAGCAACGTGTTCAGTTCGTTTCGGTTAAAAGTTCCTCGATTTGTTAGTTCATCAGCATGCGTTTATTTGCCTTGATTTTGGGGCTGCTATTTAGCTTGGGATGCTCAAATGGTTACAAGTTCCTAATGATCTTAAACTCGGCTGGCCGTTCGCATTTTAATGTGGGTCATGCCTTGGCCAAGTGATTGGTAAATTCTGGACATGAGATTACTGTAGTTTCCGTATTCCCACTGAAGAAACCCTTACCTGGTTATCAAGACGTAAATGTGCCAAATGTGATAAAAGTAATGGGGGGTGAGTAGAAATTTATTATTATATTTTGATTTTTATACTTGACCTTTTCCGCTTTTCATTAGGAGACATTGCTGCCTTGTGGGAATCTAACAAAAAAACTCTAGTTAAGAATCTCATTGATCACTATCAAATGGGTTTCCGAATTACAAGAGGACTTTTCGAGGATCCCAATTTTCAGGATTTTTTGAAGAGCAACCAAAGTTATGATGCAGTCATATGCGAGACGTTTTATAATGATGCTCAGTATGGCTTAGCAGAACATTTCAATGCCCCACTCATTGGATTGAGCACTGGTGGAGGTCTAACCTTTATTTCAGATATGGTAAGTAAGCATACAATTTTTATAACGATTCATTTTGCAGCAATTTTAAATAAAACAAGGCATACTGTCGAGCTTTTTTAGCTCATTATTAATATGGTTTTACAGATCTTGAACAGAATATTTTCCCTATTTTTTTAAGTTTAAGTTTTGTGTATTTCTAAAACTCATAAAATACCTACTGGTATTCATTTATTTCTTTGAGTTCCCAGTCTTAAGTTTACAAAAAGCCTTAATTCTTTATTACGACTAATTTATTAATTTATATTTTTTTCATTCAGGTTGGCTCTCCAGCTCCAGCTTCGTTTGTTCCCCACATTATGTTGCCCTTCAATGATCACATGTCGCTCTACGAACGCCTTCTTAACGTGGCTTTTTTGGCTTATGAGCGATTATTACTTGACTATTACTATTTACCGGGGCAGGAGCAACTCTACAAGGAGTTCCTTCCGGGAAACAAAAGGTGTTTTTACGAGATGCGCAGGAACGCCTCACTGGTGCTTATCAATCAGCATGTCTCGCTGAGTTTCCCACGGCCTTACTCGCCCAACATGATTGAAGTGGGTGGAATGCATATCGATGGCAAGCTTAGCCCGCTTCCCGGGAAGATCGAAAAATTTATCAATGAGTCAGAGCATGGAGCTATTTACTTCTCCATGGGTTCGAATCTCAAGAGCAAGGACTTACCGCCAGAAAAAATTCAAGAGATCCTTGGAGCATTCCGTGGACTAAAACAGCGGGTTCTGTGGAAATTCGAGCTGAATGATTTGCCAAACAAACCCGAAAATGTCTACATCTCCGACTGGTTTCCACAAACTGATATTCTAGCGCATCCGAAGGTCTTGGCTTTTGTGACCCACGGAGGAATGCTGAGCACCACTGAGTCCATTTATCATGGCAAGCCAGTCATCGGATTGCCCATCTTCAGCGACCAGTTCTTCAATATGGCTCATGCCGAGCAAACTGGCTATGGCATTATGTTAGACTTTAAGTCGCTGAACTCTAAGGATTTCCGTGAAGCCATCGAAAGGATCACCAGTGAGCCCTCCTACACGAAAGTGGTGCAGGGCATGTCCTTCCGGTATCGGGATCAGCAACAGACGCCCCTGGAAAAAGCCATCTACTGGGTGGAGCATGTGACCCGCCATCAAGGAGCTGCCTATTTGCAGAGTGCGGCTCAAAGACTGAATTGGTGGCAATACCACAATGTGGATGTGCTTTTAATCATTTTTGGGTTTGCTATGTTCATTTTAATTGTGAGTCCTCTTGCTATTTTTAAGCTGCTTAAGAAATTCTTATCTGAGGAGAAGAAAACACAGGGCAGGAAAGTTAAGCGTAACTAGATATGCACCTCTCTATTTTTAAACGGGACAATTAATGTACCTATTAATTTAAATTTAATGAATAAAGTTGTAAGTAGTAATACAGATATATTTCAAAATGATTTTTTGACCTATAAGTCTTTACATTTCCACCTTGGACTTTACGGAAAAATAATCTCTGCATATTAAGTTCATTCAATGCATTTAATTATCATTAACAAACAGATTTAATTGCCAAACATTTTGATTTCTGCTACTATGTGGAAATTTCTGCCACAGTTTCGATTTCCATTGTCCCACTTCCATTTGCAAAGCCAAAATCAAATTGGTGCCTAACAGCATGCTGCACAAAATTGTTTTCATCTTTTCCACCCATCGCACAAACAATTGCTAACTCGCAGCGAAAAGTTGAGATGTATTTTCATGGCCTGCCAAAAATACATTTGGCTTTCCTATTATTGGCCGTTTTATCAATGCACACACGTGCCCGCCGCTGATTGATTTTGCTGGGAAACGAGGGAAAAATATAAGCCAAACGTAAATGACAAAACAAAATTGGAAAAGTAGAAGATGGGGTACCCAAATTTAAATAGGCACTCTAGCATTAAATTAAGCAGCAACAACTTAGTTCGCGGAAATTCAGTCAGAAGGAGTAAGAGCCAAATAGAAAAAAAACAAGAAGAGAGTCACTGTAGCATCCGCCCACGTCTATGCCCAAAAAAAAAAGAAAAGGGAACCGCTCCGAGGTGCAAAACGGCTAAAATGAAGGAAATGAAATGCCAAATAAAAAAGAATTTCTTCTAGCGCAACACTCACACCAGGCTTTTTCGAGTGTGTTAGTACACAGAAACTTATTTGTTATTCAATTTGAAATAATAATAAAATAATAATAAAGTTCGATTTTAAAACCAAAATAAGGTTACATTTCTTGACAGAAATTATAATTGCGAAATCACTGATATATTTGAATATTCAAATTTTAAAAATAAATCTAAAACATTTTTTTTCAATGCAAGAGTGTGTGCAATGACCTTGAAAAGACACATTGAGCGAGGGGCAAAGCAAGTGAAGCAAGGAAAAATATGGAAAATATACGTAATGTGAGCCAAAAAGTTAGCTATGCACAAAAACTTTTTTGATGGCGCGCTGAAAGTGAAAAGTAAATTTACGCTAAAGTCGCCGAAATGCACAGTAAAGGAAAAATAAAAAGTGCGAGTTGAGTGGGTTTTTCAGAGCAGAGCGGCTGCCGAAAAATCGGTGAGCAGGGGGCAACTTGTAAAAGAATATGAAATGGCAAGAAAAAACGAAATGAAACGGAAGTTCAAGTTGATTTGTTTGCAGGCAAAGTGGAATTCCCCTACTTCCACTTTTTTTCCCACACTCCCAGACATTGACAGCCATTTTGCGGAAACGGAAGCTGCGTTTCAATCGCACTTTTGATGAAGTTAACAACAACACCGAAAACAGCAACAACAGATGGCTGTGAGGGCAAACAAATTTAGCATAACAATGCTTGGGAAATTTACGAGTGTGTGTGCAAGGGCACAGCTCGGCTTATGCTTATTATGATTATGAATTTGATTCGCATATAATGCTAATAAATTTTAAGAATTTTAAAGGTTGCTAAGAATTTAATTTCAAAATTATAGGAATTTCAATAATTTAATGCGGTAAGCCAATACCAATATTTGAAATTTTCTTTTCGGTACCACTATAATGTCTGAAAAATATAATACAGAAAAGTTTTAATCTAGCCAGTCGTCATAGGGCTAGTGTCTCAAATTAAATTTTAAAAATTTTTCACAGTATGAACAAAAAAATTCTAATTTATGCTAAAGATTTGTGTTTAATTCTATCATTAATTATTTGATATGTTCGTTTTTTGAACAAAGTTTTTTACCGAAACCTTAATGGGAGTTATCTGCAAAGAAAAGATCGCTAGAAAGTAGGCAGTTATTTGTGCAATCTGAGTATGGGGAAACTCTCACATTGGATTTCAAATTTTTTAAATTTCCTTATTCTATTTTAGCACAATTCTTCCTGGAAATATTATGCTTTTTGCCGTTTTTAAAACATCTTGGGGCTATGATTCATGCATGTGATTTCTGCGGCCCGTAATGTCGCAGTAGCGTAATTAAAAAGAGCACTGCGGAGCCGTAGTCGTTTTTATTATAATTTTTTGTTTTTTGTACGGTGTTCCTGATATATCACACTTTTTCCCGACCCCTTTTTCCCCGCCTCTTCAGCGAATGCAGAGATTGCGCTTGAAATGACAGTTGCACTTGCACCATGACAATGCCCCCAAAATGGAAAATGGGACTGGGGAATGGGATGGGAAAATCAAAGTGGGGAGCTATGCAGCTGGGCAAATTGATTGCGATTGTTGAGTTGATTGGCAGGCGACACACACACAGACACTCACACACATATATATCTATATATATATATATATATATATATATATATGTAGATTGACTGCATGCGACACTGGCAAACAAAAGCGCCGCTTTGTGGTTTTCATTGTTGGTGCCATTTTTGCTTTATTTTCGCTCTTCTCCTTTCTCCTTGTTAAAGCTCCTTTTTTTTGGTTGTCGTTAAAATTGAGTTCGTTTTGTCTTTTGGTTTTTGGCTTTGGATTCTTCTTTTGCTATTTTTAACATGCGCAATTTACAAGATGACAGATAGTTTACTGCATCGCTTAGACAAAGGAGAAATTCAGGGTGTACCGTTGTTCCTTTCATTGTTTGGCTACCTTTTGTAGTGGCATTTGCATTTGCTTTGATTGGGAGCTTTATATGTCAAACAGTCAATAATATCGCCATAATGTTTTTACATGTTTGAGCAAGTGCTTAAATATCTTTAATTTTGCTGAAAAGTTATTATTATTAAATTAGAATTATATCTAGATACTTGTTCAATGGAATAAAAATTTAAATCAAATAGTTTAATTATTTTAAAATCAAATATAAAGTGAAAAAATATATATTTATTTATTTATTTACAATGCTTAATTAAAAGTTTGAAAAGCTTTATATCTAATGCAGTCAAACATTTTGTTAAAACTCTTTGTCTTATCAATAAATTAACCCATTTTAATTTAACGAAACAATCAAATATTAGTTTAAAACTTCAGGCTGAGCCCAAAGCAATATATTTTCGTATAATGAAACTCACATTTTCGAGCGCATTTAGTTCAGTTTATTTCTGTTTTTTTAAGTTATGAAATAAATTGATTAAATTTGTATAGCCTTTGGAAATCGTTTAAAAGTTAATGGTTGTCGCTTGCGGTAAAATAAGAGGTGTAAAGAGAGGTGAGTAAAATACTTAATGATGTATCCCAAAATGTCATTTTCCTTTTAAATTCGAGAAATTCCGATTGGCGAAGAACAAACGCCATCAAATTAGAGTGTCGGCTCTTGGTCAAAACTTTGAAGCTCCCTATTTCTACTGTTTTAGTCCAGGCCCAGCAGCTAAGGAAGAACAAAAAAAACAAAAAAACCTGGAGCTTCCTTTTTAAATGAGCTCTTTGAAATATTAAAATTAATAATAAATGTTGACAGCGTTCATTTATTGCTGCTGCTACACAAATATGAATTCTTCATTATGGCCAACTCACTTTGCGTTGTCTATTTGCTGGTAGTAACCGTCCCATTTACAGTTGAGGTTGAAAAACCTGAAAAACTTTAATATTGCAACATTTTAATTGTGAAACTCCCAGAAAAGTACAAATTTTTGTAGCCCTTGCTCAGATTAAATTCAAATTAAAAGTGTATTCAATTTGGATTTTAAAGAATAAAATTATAAATATTTTAACATTTTGGTTTATTTTTAGTTTGCAGAGAACGAGTAAAACCAATATTTTAAAATATATTTTGTACTATTACTGTGACCACAATTGTTCAGTTCTTCCTTTTCATCTGTTTGTGATTTTTATTTCTTTTGGCAATTTGTGCCGTTGCTGTTTCTTGTTCGGTCTTTTACCGTTTTAACTCGCATTTGCCTCGTTTTTCTGCTAAATTAAATTTTATTTAACTGTTATGCATGAAATTGGTTACAATTTGTATTTTTATGCTGCTTTGTCTGTACGCTCACAGACACATACGCACACTCAAAATGGCCGCTAATTTCTTTTTAAATTATTTAACAATTTGCGACTGCCAATTGCCAGTTGTTTTTGTGCTGCCAGAACAATCTAATTAGGCGCCGGAAGAAGAGGAACGACAATAACGCTGACGACGCCGATTTGTTTTATACCGATTTACTTGGCAACATTTGTCGTTAATGCGACAGACAAGAAATTTGGCATCGTCACAAATACGCGGAAATCCCGTCTACTAGTCACTGTGCCAAAAACAGGCATAATTGGGCGAAAATACATAAATTAGGTTGAATAGATGGCAAAAGGAGAGAATTAAAATTTGTTATTCCCATTGATAAGTTTTGCTTTTGTTGGCTATAATTTTCTTAAAAGTATGATTACCGCTTTGCAAGACAGTTGCTTAAAGATATTGATTTTAAAAATAAATATGATTGCATGTTTACCAAGAGTTAAATTAAAACTTGTAATTACAATTTTTAACATTTCTAAAAGTATTCTTTTTTAATAGATTTTGTTGCGCAGATTCCTAGTCCACTCCCTCACCATTTTGTGAAAACGTAATTTTATTTTTAAGGAAATGAATGCAATTTGACATACAAATGTTGTTTAAATGTATGCAAATTAATCAGATCTAACTGTTCTTTTATGATACTAGCTTAAAAATCTTTAAATTGGTATTAAGGAATATTAAAAGGATTTCTTGAACATGATCCCTTTTGTCGCATTCTTTAAATTATTCAATATATCAAGGTTGCTACAAAAATCACTAGGCTTTTGAAAACAATTTCAAAGGTGTCTAAAAATAGGCAACAACACATGAAGTCGTTTTAGAATAAACGCTTTAAATTTTTTAATGCTAACTTCTGGACACCTTTATTAGCGATTTCAACAGCCTAGCGATTTCTGTGGCACACCCGTATACTGTACATTTGTTTTAACACCGTGTAACTATTAACAAATTAACCAATCGTGGTAAAATAAAAGTATTAACGCTTTTTGAAATTTTCCATAGCCAAAATGCAGCTCTGCACTTGTAAGCTTTTTCCCTTAAGAAATTGTAAATCGAGATTTATACTTAATAAAATATAAAAATCGAGTGCAATACGAGCGAAAATAAGTGCAAAAATAAACGGTCGGCAATATGTATTGAAATAACGGCAGTGGCGCTACTTTAAGTGCCAGTTGTCTCGCATCGAGCAAAGGACCTGACATCGCCTCAATTGCCAATTAAAGCGCATCAACATTAATGTCAGGCCGCCTGATGATAATAATAATAATAATGATGATAACGAGACGACGGGCACGTATTTTCTCTTTTGGAAAAGTGGCAGCAGAAAAAAAAGCACATGATTTTCTCGCAGGGCGCTGACATGTGGTCATTGTTGTTGCAGTGCCGCCCCCCTTGTGACGTCAGATGGCAAATTTAAAAACGTAAAGAAGATGAAAACTCTTTCCAGTGACAGCAGCAAGAACAACAACAATGCAATTTATGCACGACTTGCATATTAAACGTGTGTTAATTTTAGAGCAGTGCAGCCAGTGCAGATGTCCGACTATATCCGTCCCCCTCTCGCCCATGTCATTTCGACAGGCTGCGGTCAACGCCATTTGCTTTTGTTATGCCAGGCGAGGCATTGGGGGAGCAGGAGAGCTCGCTTGGAAGTGCCACTCGCTGAACTCTCTCTCCTTCTCGCTTACTCTTCCTTTAACTATGCAATTTTCCA